AAATTTCTAAGCAGATTAATGGTTGCAGGACTTCATAAAGAAGACTGAATTATAAAGTTCAAAAGGTATAACTGACTACTTTGCAAATTCCTGTTGTAGTTTATTGACTTATAAGTGTGGTCACTGTGGTGTGCAGTGGTCCTGCTGCAGGCTATGAAATAAGCAGCTTATTGACAATTTACCAGTTATATTATTCTTATTATTGTTAGTTCAGAACCAAGCAATTAAATTATCAACGACTTCAGTTGACTTCATTGGGATGTAACACATAAAGTAATGAACATAAATCTATAATACAAGGAATGATGAGATTAGAATCCATTATGAATCGATCATTTGGCAGACCCAATTTGTCTGTTTAGAATACTCCTAAAATTCCTTATAAAAATGTATTGTCTTCTTTTCCCTTAAGGGCTATCTTGCACCATTAGGTTACAGAGACAGAGAGAACAATTTTCTGTGTTTTGAGTTACAGGCTCTTGCAAAGTTGTCTTTTTAAAGTATTTGCTTCATCACATGGTGCTCTAAAGCATTTAAACTTCTAATTTTGATATAAATGGCAAATAAATTAACACAACTAAATTATCTGAGCTGAAGGCATTTCTGAGGCTCAGTGAAAATACAACTTTTTCTGTACTTAGCTGACCTGCTACTTTTAGTTTTACTAGCTTGTTAAATAGTCCCTATTATTTTAAATCCTAGGCAGAGGTTTGAATTTCGTTTCTGACATCATAATCCAGGAACCAGAGTTCTAGTGAAACAGAGGCACCTTAGCAAGTTGCCTAATTCAAGGAAGAACCAAAATGGGAAATTCATAGGAATTATGCCTCATGGCTGATGGCCATAGGAATTTTTGCTATAGGCTGATGGCTGTAGGAACTATGATAGAAAGTCTGCAGACTGTGGTGATTACTCTATACCAGTGGCTGGGGAGGGTCCAAATATTTGGAGCAGTCAGAGAGTAAGAAAAGTAAGAAAGTAAGTAAGAAAGAGTAAGTAAAGTTTCTCACTGTGGCTGTATATAAGAATAGCACTATTGGCATCAACTCTGCAGAGCAACAACAAAACAAGAACAAAATATGCACTGCTTATTTCCTGTGTAATAAAATTAAATATTGTTCTCCTCATGAGAATGATGGGAATCATGAGAATCCAATACAGTTTAATCTAATTTTTCAGCAAGCATCGTCAGTTCCAAAAATATTTCTTTTGTACAAACATTGTAAAAAGGATTGAAAGACAAGATTAAAGCTATGAATGGCTCCCAGCTGAAAGAGAAATGGACAGAACCGGCATTGCATAAATATCTTTCCTTAAACAAGCTTTTTGAAATGTCGCACAATTAAAATTCAATCTAAGTTTGACCAAGGACAAATACAGAACAAAATTCTTAAACGGAAGCTCTCCCATGTAAAATTTCTGTTGTTCAACTTCGTTCCTCACGAGAGAAGTTCACTAAGATTTTTTTATTAGAAAAAATTAAACAGACACAGTCTTTTGATCTGTATTAAAATTTCTATTTTAAATTTGGTTCTGCTGAATTCCAAAAGCAAATATACATGAATGCCAAAAAACAGCCAAAAAGAGGACATAATTTAATATAGAAATACCATCCCTCGTGTAAAAGTTCTGTCTCCTGAACCTCTAAGTGAAACTTTGACGCTTGCATCAGTTAAAAGCACCCATGGCCCATCCTATACAGATGTTAAATCTTACGAGTTTCAAATGGCGTGAAGTATGTATTGGAGGGAGAGCTTGCATGAATGAGAAGCAATTTATAGTATTTTTCAAATTTTGCTAGAAGTTGAAAATCACATGAATACATTTTGAGCATCATTAAAACATTTTCTTCTAAGTTCTGAGAGAAATAGAAAGTGATAAACCTGTGGAAAGTACTGCCTAATGGATTTAAAACTGTTACCTGAAAGCTAATGGTGATTTAATAGCTTCAGTGATGATTGATCTCTCTCTTGCATACTAGAAATTGTTCCAAGAAATATCATTAAAAATAATACAAAACGAAAAACCTGTATAAACAAGAGTACAGTTGGGGACAATGTTCTTCTGTAGTAATTTTAATGTAATTTAGAAGGATATTACACAGAAATATGGGCATTACACAGGAGGATATTACGTTGAAATTGGACATATCTGATAGATTTTAAAAAGCTTTATTTTTTTCCCCTTGTTTCTTTCTATTGTGACAAAGATTCAAGAAGTGATCTTCTAGAAGAAGAGGCAGAGAGAGATTTCATGAGAAAGATTGGTCAAATAATTTTGTTTTAAACTATTTAAACTATTTAAATTATTTTTAAAATAAATACTTGAAGCCTACAAAGCTATCACTCTCTAGAAGAGTTCACAAACCCTCTCGTAAGATACTTTTTTTTTCTGAAAGTTTGACAGTTTTCCAACTAGTTTTTGAGGGAATTAAAATGAAACAAAAAAAAAAAAAAGATCAAACAAACAACAAACGAAAGCACCAAAAACCCCTAAACACCAAAAAAGCAAACAGATGAAAAATGTTTATTCTTCCATTGACTCCTCCAGCACAGAATCCAGATATGCAGTCTAATACAGAATTCATTCTGTTTACTTTCTGTAGTTATGGATTAAAAGGTCTCCTTCATCTAATTATCTTCAAACTTTTCCTTTATACAATGCTTTTTATTAGTTTAGCCTGTTTTTTTTCTTTTATGCTAGCTCAATTTTAAAGGTAAATGTTATTGCTTTAGAGTAGACTACTATCAAACTCATCACATTTAAAGCAGGAAACTGAACTCCCAACAGGAGTCTCAAAGGAGGGAGAAGGCCTTGCTGATATGTACATCCATTAAGCAGCTGTGCTTGCCAAGTCCACGTACATTAGCTACTTTTGTGAGTTTAACAAATTTCATCTGAGCTTTCATTCTGCTGACCTAATTTAACAAGAAGGAAATTCAATAACAACCCCTAATACTGAAGCATTATTTCCCAAGAGGCATTTAACAACACTTCTACATCAAAAAATAATGTGTAGATAATGGAATATATATACTGAGGGCAACAGGAAAGTGAAAAAAGGGGGAAAAAAAAGGAAACACTCCCACCCCCCTAAGCACACACACACACAAAAAGAGAGAGCAAGAGAAAAAATTCTATATACCCTTTTCAAAAAAGTCCAGTAGTTTTCCAAATGTAGGGAAGCTGAGAGAATTTCAGCTTTGAATTCCTTATGGTCCTTGAGAAGAAACATTTCTGGCTATCTTTGAATAAATCTTAGTTCTCCTCAGTCAGTATACCTTTGTCTCAAAAGAACACAAATATGAGTTGTGATAAAGAATTTCCAAGGTGCAGGACCACATCTTCATTTTGTACATGATATAATTCTGCATATGTAGCATTCTTCTGTGTATTAATTGTTCTGTGTGTTAGTCAAAGTTCACAAACAAAGTAAATGTCAAAATTTTGGGAGAAAGAGAAAAGAGGTAAATTAAATCATCCATAACTTGGTGTTTGTTTAGACCAACTGAAGCAGGTATCTGTGAGTTACTGAGAACAAAGTTTGGGCCAAAATCCTTAATAGCAGTGGTTTTGAGAAGTTGTTTGGGTGCTGGCGGAGAGGGGAAAATATTCTTCTGAGTGAATATGACTTGAAGACAGTAACTGGCTCCTGAAAAGAATCTGTTCAGATATTAACATGCCTGCACACAGACATGCAGTTTTTAAACTGTATCACTCTATTTCATAGTGTACCTACTTTAAAAGTCCTGACATTTTATTATAATCTCCTAATCAACACAAGGTTACTGGGAAAAGCTTGAGTAACACGTCAATATCAAATTGAAATACAGGAAGAATTTCTGAAAGTTTTACCTAGCTTTTCTTTGAAAAATAAAAAAATTTTAGGATGATAGTGAAATATAGTATAAAGTTATTGAAAGAAGAGTATGTTACCTATTAAGATCAGCAAAGAGGAGAAGAAACAAGCATATTACTATTTGAGTTTTTTGCCACATGTGGAAGAATATTCAAGGAAATGCAACAACCATTCATGTTTTTTATGGATATGCTAGGAAGAATAGCAAAATCACCCTGATTAAAGTTTGCAGAAACTACACCCTATTAAGATTACAAATCAAATGTTTTTTATGATTTACTGGAAGAAACAATTACCAAATGGTCTCACTAACAAAACCTGCTAATCTTTTAATGCTGGTATAGAAGTAAACTGAAGAGAACTTGACTAAATTTCTCTTGCTGAAATAACATCTCATGGTTCCATTAGATGAAGGAAGAAATAAAATAAAGCAAAGCAAAAAAACAAAAGTGGAGACAAAAAAGGTGAGTTGGGAGAGGCTTGCCTTCTCCCTGCCATATAATTTCCCACTAAGAGATTGAATTCAATATTTCAGGATACTTGGAACAGGCCTTCATATTTTTAAAAAGATTTCCTGCAGTTTAAACTTGCATCACTTCATATTGCAAGAACATCTCAAGAACTTTTTCTGTTTAAAAGTTTGCTTCTTGTCATGTTGTAGTTCTTCTGATGCATATGATATTCCCTTTTACCATTTAAAATACCCTGGAGAACTGGTGTTTTACCATTTGTAATTTCTAAAACTACTTTGTGTTAGTGTTTCATGTCTCTTGATACTAAGATTAATAAAACACTGGAATTCTTGTAAATGAAATTGGGTGGAAAACATTTGAAGCAAAGGCAGCAGTATTTAATGTGTAAGTTTCAGCAATATTTATCCACCAGTCTAAATAAAGAGCCCTCTTCGAAGTTTTTAAATTGAAATTTTTTTAATGGCACTCTTACTTTTTTTGAAGGAAGTATTTTTACAGCAGCTACCTGATATATTCAGTGTTCCCTCTATAGGGATAACCTTTATATTTCTGACCAGGTTGTTTTCTATGTCATTATGGTTTGTATATGAATGGTATGGTAGCAGTGATGTTGGATACTACGGAGTGAATGCATTTCAACTTACGTTTTGTCTTCTCTGTTTACTTTCAGAATTTGGATACTATATACATTTCAGAGATGAGCTGCTGGAAGCTTCTTGGCTGCCTCAGAAACTAGACACATAAAAAACAAGCCAAGAAAAACGAAACTTTATGCTCCACTGCTGACCGGCTTGAAGAGCATCAGCAGTGGAGAACTATGACAATACAGCAAGTCCTATTACTTCTGCTGCTCTGGATGTGGCTGCCACATCCCTGCCATACAGAAATGATCTTCAGAAGGACTCCTGATCTCAGACCCAAAAGCTTTGGAGGACGTGCTTTAGGGAATGATGGGAAAGCAATTCACCGTCAGAAGCGAGGCTGGATGTGGAATCAGTTTTTTCTTTTAGAGGAATACACAGGATCTGATTATCAGTATGTAGGCAAGGTAGGTTTCTCATAAGGTTTTCTGTGCAATTTTTCAAGTGTTCTTATCTTTCCACGGAGTTTTACTTTCTATATGTTATTCTAATGTGTAAGAAGCAGATTTCCAAGAAACAGATACACTGTTTCTCCTACTAGAATCACTACTTAATGTTGCCAGTTCAAGCTACTGAGAAATACTAGGAAACAAATGAAAACATTTTTGACAGATTTGTTTGTTTCAGCACGTCATACCTACCAGCAGCCCAATCAATATGGCTTCTTTTTCAAAACATAATATTGTATAAATCTTTATAAAATAGTTTTCCAACTCTGTCTCTGAATATTTCATGTTTCATGCAAGATACTGATTCTTTTTCTATGCTCATGTCTAAGGAATAAAACCTATTTTGAAAAAAAAATATTCTTCCTCTTTACCTCTCCCTGAAAATCAATAACTGCAGGGAGTAAAGTTCATTTGCAAACCATGTATTAGAAATCTGGTGGTTAGGAAGTGAACTGCAATAGAAGACAGCAGACTGGTACATATGACGGTGTAGCTTACTCCAGGTATGCATGAACAACACTGGAAGTGCCCTTTATTTTCTGTTGATGTTTAGGTTTTTCCATGTAATTTATTGAAAAATATATAATGTATAATGCCACAATAATATTCAAACAGGTACAAGATGTTAATTCAAAAAGGTAATTTTCATGAAAATGAAATTTAGCGTCAGCAGCAATGGGTGCAACTTAGCCCCAGTGGTTGGCTCTAAACAAAGAAATTCAGTTTTCTGTAAAGCAGGTTTTCAGTATTTACATGGTTCTGAACTTGAAAAAGAACACAGTGAAAAACTGACTTTTTGACAATCATGGAATCACAGAGCAGCAAAGATTGTAAGGCATGTTTGGAAATTATCTAGTCCAAACCCCCATGCTCAAAGCAGTTGATCTTCCTCAGGACTATGTCCTGTCAGATTTTAAACAGCTCCAAAGGTAGAGATTCCACAATCTCACTGGACAAACTATTCAAGTTTTTGACCACACACTCAGTAAAAAATTTGTTCCTATATTTAGAGGGAATTTCTTGTATATCACATTGTGCCTGTTGTCTCTTTTCATGTCACTGAGCACCCCTGAAAAGCAGTAGGGCCTGTCTCCCTCACTTCTTCCCAACAAGTATTTATATACATTAATAAGGTCTGTGCTGAGCCTTCTCCAGGCTGAACAATCTCAGCTCTCTCAGCATCTCCTCATATGAAAATTGCCCTAATGCACTACTCAACTTTCTGGCTATTTCCTGGACTCCCTCCAGTAGTTTTGTACCTCTCTTCACATGGGGAGCCCAGACCTTGAAACAGATTTCCAGATGTATCTCACCAAGGTAGAGGAGAGAGGAAGGATGTCTTGATGTCTCTCTTGATGTCCAGGTGATGATGACTTTTGGGCTCGAAATGGAGCCCAGGGTGCTGATGACCTTTGCTGCAAGGGCACATTTCTGGCTCCTGGTCATCTTGCTGCTCAAAAAGACCCCAGTATCACTCTTCAAAACTGCTATCCAGACAGCTGGGCCCCAGAATATGTTGTTGTATGGGAGTATTATATTATAAAACATTCCTTGGAAGAATTAAGGACACTGGAGGATTTGTGAAAGGAAATGTTTATTAAAACTTTTGTAATTTAAACACTAAAAATTCAAGAATGCAGGGTTATGAATGAGTAAGACATTTTTCATTTGTTGCTTTGAGTCTGTTATATTAGCATTAGCATTTAAAAAAATGCAGCCATGTCCAAAGCATGTTGAGAGTCTTGTAAATAGTGCCTATATTTATTTCATAGAGTTCTCAAGTGTAAAGTCATGACTCCCAAGTGTTCTGAAGCAAGTAGCCAGTTCCTCAGTCTGAGTCAGGTTGATAATAACTTATGAAAATTGACCTTGCCCCCGAAATAAGAAGGGTCATTGTATCAAAACACTATACTATTGTATTGAAAGTGTATTGCTTACAACAGTCATAGGAAATAAATAGCTTTCCAGGGCAACCAGAACTTCATATTATTTAAGGACCTTCAGAAACATGCTGATTACCTTTTTCCTACTGTATTATTTTTGAATATTTATGATTTCAAATCATGAAATGGGAGTGGCATTACTTAAAAATTTTCTTCCAGTCATAAGTAAGTGAAGGAAGACTCTTTAGAGAGGAAAGTGTTAACATTTTTTAGACTAACTCACCTGCATTAGAAAAAGAGAGCTGTTGATAAACATTGAACTACTTTGGCTGAGAGAAAATAAGTGTTTGCAAATGTGAAGTGATAAGTAAAGATAAGTAAAATGACGGATGAAGAGTACAGCACTAAGAAAAAGAAACTTGATGAGCAGTTAAGACAGCCCTTTCATCAAGTTTGCTCTGCTTAGAATAAAAGAGTTGTAACTTTGAGAAAGCAAATTTAAAATTAAACAGTATACAAGATTGCCCAGTATTAATTTTCTGACAAGTTTTGGAAAAGGGTAGAAAACACACATAAAATGAAGAATATCATAGCACGGTATTTGCTCAGGGAGAGTTCTACACAAAGGAAGCTAATGGAAACAGATATAATTATATGTGGAATAAAAAATTGGTTGTTACATTAATTAATATTTTATTCTGATAGTCCAAAATCTCAAATCAATAGGTAAATAATTAATTACTGATTAAAACTTTTCTGTATAAATTTTATAATATCTATCTCCTTTCCCTTGTTTTTGCACTTTCCTTTCCAATGGCCATCTCAGTTCTATACTTAAAACATTTCTGGATGTTTCCTTTACCTGATTTTATCCAGAGACAGAATTATTTCAATAGGTGGGTGACATAAAATGCCACTTTGCTGATAATTTCTCTGCAATGTGTTTGGAAATTTTGTGAGAGAAAAAGAGCAGAAGTTAAAACTCAGTGATTCATGGCCAAGGACTAAGAGAGAATTTTTTGTGCAATGCCAGTGGAAGAACCAGCAGAACTCCCGAAGCTGATTCATCTGGGTTTATGGTTTACATCTTTTGCTTTCTGATCTCATGACTGATATATTTTTCTTTTTCTTAACCTGCATCTAAATATCTCTCAGGGAAACTTAATAGCTGGTGAATATCACAGTACTCTTGAAACAACATAACAACAGAAACATTCCTTCTTTAAGTCTGCTATCTGTGCGAAATGGTGGTGGAGTACATATTGGCTGGTTATGGACATTCCCAGGTTTCTTTAGATCAGTATTTATTATAATCACAAGAAAGAAGATGATCAGCCTTTCCTTCATGTTATACCACAGCATCCTTAGAACAGAAAACAAAATTATGTAAATGATTTTTCTGTATGCAGAACCTCAAATGATAACTCCAACTGTATTACTACTAAAGTTTGAAGTCATAAAGAAGAGCCATATGGAAAGCTATAACTCTCTCTCTCTCTCTCTCTCTATATATATATATATATATTATACAATTTGTCTTTGAGGTATCTTTGCAAAAATATGCTTGAAGAAAATTTGAGTAAAAGTGGTCCTCCCAGTTTCAGCTAATCAATGCAGGAATGTTCTAAAAGACGTGCAAACCTCATGTCAGAAAACCAGTTTTATCAATATTATGGAAAGTTGATTCTCAATTTTTTATTTCTTTTCTTGTATACAGTATATAGCTTCAAGGCCCATTTATTATTTTTCAAATTAAGGTCTGAAATTATAAAATATTATGCATTTTTCAAGCCTATTCTGAAAAACTTCAATTTACTTTGAGTACATCCAGAAAAAAAAAATGTAAAAAAATCTAAACTTATCTTTCTAGTAATCACCTAAATAAAGCACTACTGTGTACCAACAATATCTTAGTAAAGAATCATTCAGAAATAAATTTACAAATAAATTCTTTATCCACATTAAAGTTCATTTCCCCTTTTACTATCTCACCAGATCCTGTCAATTGTTTAGCTTTGCAGGTATTTTCCCAACTTAGCTTTCTGAGATAGATACTGACTTTTTCTAGCAATTTCCATTACAGTGGGTTTATTGCATAAAGGATCAACTGACACAAATATTTCAAACTTTGAGAGACTGGAGTTCTTAGTAACACTGCAGTGCTTTTTAGTGTCTCAGGGGATAATTTATCATGTATTTGCACATAAATGTATATAACATTTGTGCGTGTCATATTAGAAGTGTTACCAGCAAGGATTATCCTGGCAGTATTCACTATCACACGCTTGTAAGTGTAGTCGTTATCTTTGATGGTGTAAAGAGCAGAACATGTCAACCTCACTTAGTTCCTTTCACTTCGAGAATCCCAACACAGACGTGATTCTGAGGAAAAGACTTAGCAGGCTGTGTGTGCATGACACATTTTCAAGAGCAGCAGTTACGGTTTTAGTAACTATCTATTGACACTGGATGATGTACCATGTAACAGTCATAAAGATGTAAGGCAGTGAAGCCTCAGATGCTGCTTGTATTTTTCTTTCTGATGAGGCATTTACCAAAACCACTGGTTTTGGAGAGGGTAGTACAAAAGACCAAGTTTGATTTCAAAGGATTCATCATCAGGTGTGACACATACAGTGAAAGGTCCCAATGAAGTGATGCTATTGTAGTGGTAAGGTGAAGACTTACCAAACCCTTTTAAAAATCTCTGCATTTTGATTTCTGAAGAGGGTTTCTACCATAGTTCTTTCTTTTGTAAAGACCTTTGCTGCTGTGAGAGACTAAAGAGTACAGTTTTGAATTGCAAGTGCTAATGTGCAGGCTTAATATTTGGTGTGAAGATCTGACTGAGAGATATAAAAAGCCTTCCCTTTCAGGTGACAGTAATCAGCTCTGTGGCACTGAAGTTCAGTAGAGGTTGAATTTTCAGCTGGAGCTGATTCTCGTGACAGAGATCAATAAAAAACGAATGGAAAGGGATGGAAGATATTCTACAAAATGAATAAATGAATAGTTACCTGTCAAGGTGAAAGAGGGTCAGATAGTCCTTTAACAGTTTCCATGTGAGATGTTTTT